GCCATAGCGATGCGATGTTGGTTCACAAGAAGATCGGTGGCTTTATACGTGATAGTTGTTGTAAGCTGGCCGAGCCACAGCTGCCCCATATACTCTCGCCGCTGCTTGGCTTCTTGTCGCGCGGCTTCCTGCATGTAGTCTCGTTCCTTCTTGTCGATCATAGCGACGAGTGCATTGTGAAGATGGATAAGATCGCCAGTGCCGGTCATCAGATGTGACCTCACATCTGCGTGGGAAGTTTCCGTCTTATCCATCTTCACAATGCACTCGTCGCTATGATCGCCAAGAAGGAAAGCTCTCCGCTGAACAGCTTGCTGTACTTTGAGTATTCCTTGGGAATCTCCGTTGTCTCAGCTTTTGGCTCTCTGGCTATCACATATATTCCTAGAGGCCGGTCATGATCCGAATGATGTGCCTCTGTTGGGCCGCTCTCAGGATCGTAATCGCATCCTGGTAGATCCCACTGAAGTTGGCCTGTTCTCCAGTTGACTCGGGGATTGCTCGCTCGCAACCAGGGTATCCCTAATATAACATCATGTTGTGAGATCGCTGTGATGTCAAGACTGACATGGTGTTTCGTGCCTTGTATGTCGATTGGAAGCTGCGCAACTTCCGTGTTGACTACTCCGTCGCCATACTTCACTGTATGTCCTTCCACAGTCGTGAGTCGGTTAGGGCTCGTCTTTCATATTCCAGGGCAATCACGGCAAATCTGTTTCCTCATCTAGATTCTACGGAATTCAGGTAAGCAGTACGGTCTCGGTATCGATAACAAAAAAGACAGAACGGTCGCGAAAAAAAGAGCTGACCGAGACAGGGGTCGAACCTGCGACCTTCTGATCCCACCGAACCGAGGCGTTGGACCGCCAAGGCACAATCGTAGTCAGACGCTCTGCCATTGAGCCACACGGCCTGTTAGTGTTAGGATTACCGGAGACTCCGTATTTAGGAATTATAATAACAATCGACATTTGAGCGCTAGGTTTGGCACATCGACGATGTACATACACGGAATACGAATGCTGCGACTTCGAAGGTGAATAATCGGGTGGAAATTTGAGGATAAATACAAGCTGCTTAACTGAGTATTGATGGTTATATTCTTGTTTCTCTTTCATAACAGCATCCATATACTTCCGAGTGGCGACGCCATCGCCTTCTGCGACAATCAGTGCATAAATTTCCGCATCGATGCCAACATTCGTCCTCAGCTTCAGTTGAAGCCGCCGTTGAAATTTCCACTATTTCTTAAGCTGACGGCTCCCGCTTCATCTAGGGATCTAGGTCCTAAATGAGAGGCGCCATTTGTTGAGACGCGCGAGCCATCTCTGTACCAACCTCGGAACGCCACTATGACCACTTCGAGGCCTTGCCCGTGGCCTAAGCATTCGTAGTCGTAAAGGGCAATCAGGCGCCTCTGGGACAGCAGACTCCTGAGCCGGACGACGTCACTTTCGGCTATGAACCAAAGGCGCTGTTTTTTCAGCGCTCTACCGAGTAGCGTCAAGGCGCGACGATGCGATCGGAAGCCTAGCCAAGAATCCCGCCCGGCCTCTCCTTGCCCTTGACTAGGATTGGGGAATCGTGCGGTTCGAGGGGAAGATCAGTCCTGGTTATGAGCTGCGCCCGGTCGAGGAGTTGATGTGCCCATCGGCAGATGTGCAATAAGCGCTCATTTTAGGGCGCCATCGTGCTCAACGCGTCGATGACTGTTTTCTCACGATCTGTGCACAAAATTCGAGGGCCAGAATGGCCGCATCTGGCTTCAGAGTCCAGCGTAGGTGCTCTCGACTTCGTTGGTGTAGAATAACAGCACCAAGCCAGTGTGGGAATTGCACCCGGTGTACTCTGTGAGTCTGTAGTGATTATCAACATCGCCGGTCGCGGCAGTTGGGAATACATACTGCGCAACGCAATGGGGATACTGCACAATGAGACCCATTAAGTATTGCCGGCCAAATCGACCCGGAGCATATGTACAGTAGTCCACTGTGAGCCGTTCGTTTTTCTTTTGCCCTACTTTGAAGAGTATCGGTGCATGCGATTCAGCGATCGCATAGTTCTGACTCTGTGTCCTCGGTAGCGTTGACCGAGTTTTGATCCGTTATTCGCTATCAACTGTCCTCATTGTCGCACAACGTGTCCACATCTGATGCCAAGGGGCCGAGTATGGCCGACTGCTACAAGGTGACAAAGAGGCTGAAGTGATCGATTATTGATACGCGAGGTCACGGTGGATGGAACGGGGGGGCTTAACGTTTTCGATCGACAGATATAATCGCATCTATAATCCCGTATCTCGAAAGATAGATGGTGACATATATTGAACAGATCTGCAACCCTCATAGTGCTCAGCTTCCTCGGCCCGGAAGAATAAACTAGGCATGCATGCGTTACTTAGAACGATCATGGTACGCATGACCTCCGCGATTGAGTTCAGCTTCTCTGCTCACGCAGCTCTGTCACCGTCTCAAGTTTGACAAGCCATTCTCTTTCCGTTTGTAATGTGATCCCCTGATTGAGGAAGTGAGATCCCACGCCTAGTCGAGGAATAAGAGGATCGTGATACTTTTCTATGCATCGCAGCGTATCAGTCAAGGTGGAATGAGCCGATGACAGTGCATCTTGGGCTTACTGGTGTCAAATTGACGCCGAAAAATGGAGGGCAGAAAGCGTTGAGCATTGATTGAAAGTGACAGACAAGACTTACTGGGACTGAAAGACTGGTCGGCCACCTTTGCTATAATCCTGTCCTGTTCTTCCCTGAACCTTCGAGAGTTGCCCACAGCAGGGTGTACTGTCTCAGCGGCGCCGGAGAATGGCTGCGATGAGAGGAGAGCGCCGGCCATAATGATGACGTGTGGAAGAACTGCGTCTTCAGAGGGCCGCGAGAAGAATGGAGCTTTTCAAATGCTCGCACTCTACACTTCGTGGAAACGCATCAGTGTGTCATGCGATGTGGATGCACGAAGTCCCGTACACACTGTGAGGAATCGGGTATCCCTACCGACCCGACCAAAAGGTCAGAACACTAAGCTGATGAGAACCAGCTTAGTGCGGGATATATAGGTACAGTGTGCGGACAGAGCGGTTACGGGTGACCGTCACACACACCGTACCTTAGGAACCTAGGTACAAATGTATTTATTCGGTGAATCCTCGGGAACTGTGATGGCGTGGCTCCAAGAGCCAATCGCGGGTGTCTGCGCCGCCGTCTGGGTGATGTGCCCAATCCCGTTGCGCCA